TGAGTCTTCATTCCCTCACAAAATCATTTGCTTTATCTGCCTTCTAGTTAGCCTAGCCTATGTTGCAAAATTGAACACAGGTAATTGAAGTTTTGTGTTAGCAGCTGACGTGATGTGCTAAAATAATCTGTAGTTCATATTCCCTGATGGACCAATCAAGCGGAGTTAACATCAACCCAATACTGCTTTTGTACCCAGACAGCACTCAGGTTTTTTTTGAAGTCATATTTAGAGAGTAGATGTATTAGTTTACAGTCCCAAATGGTCCAGGTGGCTTCAGCTGGTTTAGAGGATTTCTAAGAGCCATGGGGAGCTCTGTGGTAAAGACATACCCTGAAAACCTGACTGTGACTGTCTGGGCACCTATTTTCCCATAAAAAATATCCTAACAAGTCCTGTTCATTCATGTTATACCAGCTTTCACACCTCGTATTTGTGGTATGCAAAGACAAGCAACATGTTATTCTCAACCCCATGAAATGAAGTGGGCTATAGTACATGGTGGATAGAACCAACCAGAAACGGTCTGACCAAACCGAAAAAAATTCTGTTACATCACAAACAGAAATATAAGCAAAAATATAATGGTTTTATAAACTTCAGACTAACCACAAGATGCTTTAATAAAACCATTCCAGCAATTTGCCTTCTTCATTACCAGCGGAGCTGCTACAGAGAATGGACTTGCAGAGTTCACAGCTGTGGGGAACTCCTGCCATAAAGACTGCCCCGGAGTCAGGGTTTCCTGATATTCCAGTTCTCTGCCTTGAAGCCACAGGAACCCTAGCCCCAGTGATGCAGCAGAGAGCCAGAAAAAACTCTCCACTTCTAATGGGACTCTCAGGACAGTCGGGCTTTCACCCAAAAAAAGCCAGAAGCACAGGAGCCCAGACTGCCAAACCTTGAGATTCCTGCCCAAGTCCTCATTCCAAATTTCCAGATTCCTGGGTCTCTGTCCATCTAGCTGACAGAAAACAGGGAGTTGGGACCTTTAAGTTTCAAGAGCCACAGCTAAGGCAGACGCCTCAGAGCTGGGACTCTCAACCTCAGTTTTGTTTCAAAGTAATTTAATGAACTATCTGGCTACTTTAGAAAGATTCTTCTACTTTCCTTTCTAAATGAAACATACAAAATTCAAAATTAAAGGTTTTTTTCCAGAATTTAATATGGAAATGGAACTATAATTTTGAGCACCTACAGTGGAGAATCCATGATTGTTTCTCGCTGGTCTATGACACAGAGTGACCCCAACAAAAACACAGAATCGTAGAATATCTCCCTTATGGAAGGGACCCATAAGGAACGTCGAGTCCAACTCCCTTCTCCTCACAGGACTACCTAAAACTAAGAAATACAGTAGAATCCTTGGCTTCACAACAGATCCCACAGTTTAGGGAGAGTGCTCGAAATAACAAGGATAATGTTACAATGGACTCAGTGAAAAGTGTAATAATGATAAGACATGGAGAGATTCCACCCTCATTTCATCTGACATGGAAGTGGTTCTGAAAAAAAAAAAAGCAGCTTATTTCTCTTAACAAAATAAATGGCAAGACAAAAGCCTGTTCCAGAAGTTCAACTCAAATGCCAGCTAAAACAAAAGCAGAGCCACTCGCCAAGAGCTGAAGTGCACCTGCTTCACCTAGTGAAGTGTCCCTGATACAGTACTGTATCTTAAATACCATAATTTCTCAGATGCAGACCAGGGTGAGTGTTGGTTTGTCTCCTAGCCTGCTCCAACACTGCAACATTCCTCCCCATGGCATGCCAGGTATTTGCCACGGGTGTGGAAGGATGGAATTCAGGCTCGATATCACTGCTGAGAAGACACATCTCATACTGCATGGGTTTAGCTGTAAAAGTGAGGTCACTGCATGTGGAGTTCTTCTGTAAATCACAAGAACATGTAAAGGTGTGCCATCAAACAACATCTGTTGGGAGTTTAGGAATAATTCGATGCTAGTTTACTTCCATCAAACCTGATGCCATGACATCACTTCGCCCAGCTTCTGCTCCTATCTGCAAACTCATATGATAATTAAATTTCCCAGAACTGACACTAGCTGCTACACATTGCACATTTCCTCTTCTGTTCAAACTACTGAGGAATTCACTAACTTGAAACCTTAAAGCAGGTTTCTTGGAGCAATTCAACTTCCTTGCAAAATATGTATGACTGTCTGAGAACAAACTTAAAATAATCTGAGAAATAATAAGTTCAAGTGCATGCCACAATCAGCCTTACACTCTTTGAAGGGTATTCTGACACACTTAATTCACACGATACGGGTACCATGACATATCATGATACAGATAATAATAATAATAATATAGATGATTAAGGTAATGGCAATACATAAGCACAGTCTGCTTATCTCCTAGGCAAAACTAGGAGAAAATCTGCATTCAAACACTGTAGCAGCAATAGCTTCCTTTTTTAAAACTTTTTAACCCTTTCACACATAGTTGCATTGTAACCCAGATTCTCATATACATCCTACACACTCTGAACAAATTACACAATTTATTCAGCTCACTTACGGCATTACCATGTTTAATCATTTGTAGTAATGAGCTTCATATGACAGAATCCAGGTTGCCTTAAAAAACTGATGTGTTTATTAACCATATTTCCTATGTATATGTTTTTACTTCATAAGTAGTCCCTTATCTGTTTGTCAGAAGCTGGAAGTCACCTGAAGTTGACACTCTGAACCAGCATATATTAATACTGACCTTAACTTTGCATTATTAAGAAGGTTTATAAATAAAATGCTGTATTAAGCAGCTTGAAAAAGCCACTTCGTTAAAGAAGCCATCATGTACATTTAAAGTGTGGAAAGGAACGTAAGATTAAATCAGGTCCTCTTGCACAAAACCCCAAGAATCAGCAATTCCTATTCAGAGGTTTTAAAGAACATTCAACCTTCTTCAAGTCTTGCTTATACATCTTTATATCACTCGATCACTACAGAGCTTGAAGTTTTGAGCACTTTATATTATACAAGGTCAACAGTACATTCCACAGAATTTCTGGGAAATGTCTCCATCATAGATCTGTGTAAAATTTCTATGTAGAAACTGACCTTCACAGACTGTCAGCTCTTTCTTAGTTTGGCAACTTGATCTAAATCCCATTTCGGGAAATCATTCTCTATTTAATTAATACACCTCAAACTCACCTCCTCTGAGAACTGGTACAGGTATACATAGAAACGGATATTTATGCAGGCAGCACTTGAAGGAGGAAGAAAGGTTATTTACTAACAGCTGTATTACTTTGATCATATAGATTTATATTCCTCACTTCCTCTCTCCTTCACGGAGACAGGAACTGTGAGGACCAGGCCACGACTGCTCAGCAGAAATTTTCACTGAACATTTGTTTTTTCAAGAGGGTATCTGCCCCACAGTCACTTCTTTCCACTGAGTTCCAGTTTCCCGCTCCAGTAAGGGAGATGCAGGGCAGAAGTATGCAATCTACTTGAAAAGTACGAGCACCTGCCTACACAGGCAAAGAGACATACAGACCTCCAGCTGTGTCCTGTTGCCACTACAATTCTGCCACTGTAACCCTCTGTAAGGAGCCTGCTTGGGAATAAAAGTGACTTTATTCTGATACCATTATTCTGCTTTATACCAGAATCACTTTTATTTCAGAATAATCTACGTAATAATCCAGAGTGATAAAAATGGCATAGCTGTTGGTAATATAACTACACTGCTACAGTTCTGTCAGTCAGGTTGCTCATGGAACAAGTTCAAGTATTGCAAAGCAGTACTTTTTTCTAAAACTACAAAGCAAGGATGCTGTATCACCAGTGCTGTTGATGTCCTAAGGGTGCCATCCTTATTTCACTCAACGTGAGTGCTGGGGCCCCTGCTGTACCACAGGCCTCCCTCATTCATGTTGATGTAGCTCAAGCCTCGGCTGGGAACATTTTCAGCCAAATGAGAGTCAGTGGCAAGACAAGTGGTGGTCACGAGTTTAGGAACCACTAGCCTTCAAGAAATGCACTTAAAGGGAAACAGTCTTCACGTCTACTCAGTGATTTATCTGATGTACTATTTGTCCATGCCAAATTCCTATTTAGTTCAGTGCAGACTGTTTAAGGATAAGAGTTCAAATGCAAATCTGAAGAGACTAATTTTCTTTGGTTAAAAATAAACGTGAGGAGAACAGTAACAAGCCCTAGTTGCTTTAGGAACGCTACTGCACATCAGGAGCTCCACGCAACACTTCTTTCCTTTTCTCCCTCCTAAGGGGGGCTCTTTGGGTGCAAGCCATTCTTTCCTCTATTTCAGGGATTAGTAGCAAGCCCCTGGTAAATACACCTCAGGGCTCTATTTGTCCAGCTGCCCTTTACCCCCAAGTGAGTGGCTGTAGCTGCACCCGCACTCCAGCCGCCTCTGAGGACTTCCACTCCTTCCTCTCCCCCAGGGGAAGAAGCTAACACCTCCTCACTATGCTCCAGCTCCCGCTTCCCACCTGCAGGGCTCCGCTAGCACCTCCTTCCCAGGGACCTCGGCCTCTACCCTGGGCTGGCGTTCTCTGGGCTCGCCTCTCTCTCCTTCCCAAATTCACTTCACCCCTGTTCGCACCTGGGTTGGCCTTTCCCTTTCCAGCTGGCTCCTGGTCTCCCAGGCGCTTTCTTGCCACCAAAGTGCCAGATACTCGGTTCGTCCCACTCTTCGCACGTACAGCTCTCCTGTTCTCAGCACGCCCCGCTCCCTCCTACCACTAAGCAACGGCCACCAGGTCAGCTGCCGCCATTACCAACTGGTCGTACTTTGAACTCGGGTCAGCATGGTCAGAGCGAAGGCGCGAGCGTCGCTGCACTGACAGACACCAAGCAGCCAGTCCGCCGCACCTTCGGTGGAAGAAACGATGCCGGAGCTCCGCTAAAAAGCCACCGGGAGCTGACGGCACCTCCCACCGCTCTCCCCTGTGGCCCTCGGTGCCTGCTCCGCGCATCTGGAACCTTCCCTGGCACCTGGGGATGAGTCGGGGGGTGGGGGGGACAACAGGCGGGCACGGCCAGGCAGACCCAGAGCAGCAGCTCTGCCAGGGCGGCAAAACGGTGCCTGCGCCACGCCGAGGAGGGGGCTCTACCGCCGCGCCCCCGGGCCGGTCACCTCAGCCGTCAGGAGAGCAGGACCCACCTACACAGCGCTCCCCTTCCACCGGCCACCGACGCGGCTCCACCGGTTCCCGCCGAGACAGGGCCGGCCGGGAGACGGAAG